ATAGATACCTAATATACCTAATATACCTATTATAATAATTAATAATTAATATGTAACAGTTTGTAACTATTATATATATATATTAAGCACATGCTTTAAAATATACACCGAATTGTTTCATGAAACATGTGTAATATATTAAATTACTCAGTAAATTACTTGACCTGTTGGCCCCTTTTCAAGCCCACTAAATTAATTAACATAAATGCTTTTACAAACTTTTTTCCAGTTTTTAAATCCTATTTTTGTGAAAGTATCATCATTGTTTTTTCCAAATAATCGACAGCAAAAGCAATATACAGCATCTTGTTTGACACTGTATTCCAACCAAGTAGGTATATAACTTAAATTGGACGAAAATGATCTATTCTGTTTACCAAATATTGGTTTTTGATAATCCTAATAAGTAATAATATTTAAAAAAATATAATATTATTTTATAATCATGCATAAATTATTTAATTACTTATTTTATTTTGTCATGATAATATTACCTAATGACATTTTAACTATTTATTTAAAACATTACCTTAAGTATGGGCTGGCATGGACCCGAAATCAAATCTCCTAAATCATCCACTTCAACATTAACACAAACATCTTTTTGTTTTTTTGATGATGCGTCACTACTATAATTATTATTGAGTAAGCCAGGATCATCTTTTGTATCACTTGAGGTAACAGAAATGTTATTAGAATTTATAATAGACGAAATTGACGTTTTATTCTTTTGTCTGGATTTGGATTTTTTTTTCATGTTGAAAATACTAAACACATTATTCTTAAAAGAATCCATTTTTAAGTTGTAAGTTTTCTTTATTTTTATATTTATTGTTTTTTTAATAAGAAATTATAACCACTAAATTAATTTCGTAAACTCGAACAATCGTATTAAAATTCATATATTTAAATAATAATATAAGATTGATTCATATATTTATTGTAAATTAAATAAATGAAAAGGTAAATGTTAAAGTTTAAATGTCGTGTTAAATATTATTATTTTAAATGATTATTTATACCTATTATATGATATAATATGATGTATAATAATAGATGTTTTTATCTTTGTAGCCTTGTAGGTAAACGATATTTAATGTTAGTAAATTATATAATAAGACTATTATAACTAGTTATTTCTATCATGCATACCACGAAGCGCTCAGTGGCTAGTTCTTTGTAGGGTATTCAGTTTATTTTTCTTTATTGTAACCATTAAGTTTTAAGTTAATTTGTTAATTTAAATAAACTTCATAATAAGCTAATGGACAAAATTTCAATAGTATGACTTGCAGTTCTATGTTTCATTTTAGCATCGCATTTTAAGAAAGGCCGACAGGGGTGGCCTAAAATAAATCGGTATTCGAAATTTGTGAAGCATATTTATTTTTTATTCGTCCAGTTAATAATATTATACATTGTGTTGTGTTGTATGTGCACATTTATTAAAAGAACGCTGTAGCCAAGAAAAAAATAGTGCTCTGGGATAACAACTGGATGCCAGCAGTGTTCCCCCACGGAGATTATACGTGGATAATGCTTGGTACAATGGTTTATTGTACACTTATGTGACCCGGTCACGCTCAAATGTGCGTTTGAAATCATTGTTATTTTAAACAATCGAAGACCACCCAAAACGTGTCGTTTTAGGGACTGCATTCCAACGTACCGTGAGGTACGTGTTATATACCTACTTATTGAAACCACATTGTGCCACCTGCCGTTTCCAAAGAAGTTGAATTCCGTTTGCTCATAAACATAATAATATAGGTACCATAACCTTCTTAATACTGTAATGTGCAGTATAAAATATGTTAAATGTTTATTTATGATCTCGCGCGATATGATTTATTAACTTAGATACATACCTATTATGCTATAATCTAATARGGTTTTTCCTTCTCCCCTTGTCCCATGTTGTAATAAACTATATTTCAGTTTCAGACACATACGGGGCATTAACGAGTTAAGTTGGTTTCGCATAATAACATAGGTAACTAGTTTTTTTCATTAGAAAAAACTAATGTTTCCTATGTTATGCAGTATCTTGTGAATTATTTGTTTGTTGTATTTTCTTGTTAGGTTAATATGTTTCCTAGTATAAAACCCCACGAATTTAAAATATGTTATTTATTAGATTAAAAAAAATGTATAATAATAATACTCGGAAATATCAAATATTGTGCATAAACTATAATGTTATAACTTAATCTATCGTAAATGTAATGAAATAGCCACCTTCTATTTAAATTTATGAAGAGTTTTAAATAATAAGGTAATAGAGGGATTGAGTTGCTACATAATTTAAAGGTCAAATAACAACAATGTTTGGGGCAAATTTAAAATATGTAGATTATGTACAAAAAATTGAAATTGCATAAAAATCGTAAATAGTTAATAAGTTACAACAAATATTTAAACKAAATTGTACAATATTCGATTAAAAATAAATGAGATCAAATATATTTCAGAGCAATGGATGCTGTAGCATTCCAGCCAGGCCACGCCTTAACTAGATAAATATATTTATTCAATAATACGTATCTACCTATAATTGTCTATAAAAGCATACAGCGCACTGAACAATTTTGTTTATTTCTATTTCATATCCATCTTCAGACATAAAGTGTTTCAGCTGGCTCAGTTAGTAGTAGTTATACGTTGGTGACCTCAAAAATAAAAATTTAAATTATAAAATCGACCAAATTATCAATATTATTAGTTTAATAATATAGAGTTTAAGTTTTTTGAATAGGTATCTACTGATTTTTAAATATATTTTTGTATAGAATATTTTATAAATAGGTGCCTTCTATTTATTTAAAATATCCAATAGAGTAGGTATTTTAAATAAACTTATTATCAATGCAAATTGTACCAAATACTTTTGAATACACAATTATGTTATAAAATACCTATTAATTTTATATCGAAAGTAGGTATCATTGCCAAAAAATAATTGATGTAAAATATATAATTAATGCCCTACTTCCATTGATAATGTATGAATGGATAAGCCATATTAACAAAATAAGGGATAGTGGTTTCAAGGGCGGATGATAGACAGACGTTTTTAAATAGGATGTGCTCTCACTCCAACAAAGGGTTTTTTTATTAGCTATATTTATTATATAATTGATAAGATCTCTCGAAACCGCAARATATCAAAATGTTAATTCTCGCGTTATTAAAACAAATTTTCCTGGGATGGAACGGCCGTATATTAGTACATTGAAAATAAATCAGATTTTTGAAACATCATGTCGCTTATTTGAAACAATAAAATTATGCTAAGGTCAGTTGACATATGCACCAATTATCCGGTAATAACCAGTGTATTTTAATCTGTTATTTGCAGTCGTTACGTTTATATTTACTATAGGTACCTACGCGAGAAAACAAACATCGTTAGATTAGTATTTTAAATAATATGGTAAAATATATACGTACATACTTTTTTTTTTAATTATTCATACATTGTACATAGTTAAAAGTACATAATATAATATATTATGTAATAAATACGATATATTTTTCATAAAACAAACTAAAACAATTGTTTAATTGACACATTTMACCTTAGTCTCAAAGTTTTCCTAATAAGCAGTTTCTACATTGTACGTTGTAGGTAGCGGTATTGTAATTAAGTTAAATAGAAACAATAATTTACCATTCAATTTAATATAATATTTTATCTTCATTATTTTATGCCACCTACGTTAGTGTAGGTAGGAAAATACATTATTTTTTATGTGTGTGTGTGGTGGGAGGGGTTGTGGTTTACATGATTGGGTGAGTGTCGAAGAGCGCGCGCTGGTGATGCCACTCCTATGTGCAGCTGGTGGTGGATTTCCACCACCACTTCCAGAGCTGACGAGATGGCCTATAAAACAACTTTTGGAGGGTAGAAACAGTGTAGCAGCGGCCAGTTTGCATTCCGTTCACCTTTCTGTGCCAGTTCACCAGTGTATCGTGTCTTCCTGTAACACGCGTTTCTTTTGCATATCCAGACAATTTAATTGTATTTGCATCATTTGATTGACGGACATTTTCTACATTAAGCCTGCATTCACAAAAAACACCATGATGTCGATAATTGTACAGATGATATCGATCATCACTATCATCACTATTACCGGGGAAGCAGTTGATTTACAATCCGATAACGATTTTACAGAAAGTGAGTATTTATCTATATTAATTTTTAATTTCGTTGTTTATTCGAATTGAATTGCTATTGTTATTCATATTATGATACTTACTAGCTGTATTACCCGTTGATGYCAGGTTAAGGTAAAAATAAATAAGATTGTTAAATAGTTATATATATACATACATATAACAGTGGCATATTTACGGGGGAGGGGGGGTATGGGGGATAGATACTCCCTGGTTCTCTTATTTATAATGTTTCGATGTTGATGGTAAGTGAACTACCCCCTCCCTGTAGAGGGAAATTAAATGACTGCTAATGTATATCTCTCCTCCCTGCCATGACAAAATCCTAATTATGCCACTGATAAATAAATATAATATATTATGGTGCGGTCGTACGCTCACCTGTAGAAATGTTCTAGTGTTTCTAGCACCCGGATGGGTGACCACCCAGGTTTTTAGCAACAATTCCTTGCCACACACATGTTCTAAACCAACCGTTTCCCCTTACAAACAGCTTATGATCATACTTGACGGGCTTATGATCAATTAAATAAATAAATGAATTAATGTAATGTAGGGATTTTAATTATTATTATTATTATGTATGTATGGTTTTTGTATTTGTGTTATCGCCGTGCGTTGTGCATACCACGATGGCAAAAACCTATTAGCTATTATTATTAAATTATGTTTATTGGCGCACGTCGACYGACGATCCAGACCGACCACGGCGACAACGAAGACCGTTGTTTACTTTAATTTTAATATCTTTCAATAATTGTAATAGGAATTAGTCTATCTTCTCTATCTGTCACCATTCGCCAAGTTCTTGCGTGCAATATGTAAGCATTATGTATTGCATTTTTTCTTATTCTAAATTGACATCCTGACCAATGGCGTATTGTCCAGGTATGTTAGTGTGGCGTAGCACACCAGGCTGACTTAAATAATAATATATAACATATATTCGATAAACTACTTGAAAAACTAGATTTTCATAAAGGCTAGTTATGGCTGTTATGAAATACTTGGCCTTTAACCTTCTCGTTCACATCTGATCCCGACGATCGAATGATGAATGTAACTACTATATCACCAAGTTCACAACTCTAAGTCGAATATCTCAATGTTTTTCTTGAGTACCAAATATTAAATACGTCACGGAACACGAAACTAAATATATAATTTCCATCACCTACAGTGGGAATTAATARATATTCCGTTTTAAATAAAAACTAAATTTAATTATACGTAATAATTATATATTAATATTATACAATATGACAATTTCACTGTTATTGCCACAATTTAAATGTACAGGATGATTCTTTTATCAAACAACACTCATTATTTCAAAAACTATTGACTTTTTCAAATTTTTTTTTTTCAAAATTTTAGATCCTTCTTGATCTAGAACTATATATGTTTTAAATATGTTCACCCTTATATTTATCAGGTAAACCATTATCAACTTTTGATTTTCAAATTACAACCTATACTTGAAATTTCATAAACTAAAAAGGCTATTTTTTCAATGAATTTTTACGTTTAAATTTTCATTTTTCGTTAATCCGTTTACAAGTTATAGCCTTCCAAATTGTGTGGTTTTGGGTGGTGTTTGTGTGTTTTAGGTGTATGCTAGGTGGTATTTACACACAAACACCTTATGAGTGATGYTTGATAAAAGAATCACTCTGCATATGCCACGCAGTAACGCACGTCACCGCTGCTGATGACGACACATCAATATCGCAGCAGACGTAGGAGTTGTGGGGGTTGTAAAAATGTGTGTGTGTGTGTGTGTGTGTGTGTGTGTGCGCGCACCGAACAACGCGCGTCGCTTTGTTATAATACAGAAAACTTTATATTAAACAGTTATTAATTTATTATATTTTATATATTAAGATGTTTAATAAAAGAACAGTATTTATATGTTATATCAGTCTATTGCGGTGACTCTTTCAAGCCATATGTCCGATAACTTCTTCAACTGTCACGGTCATTACTGCGATAAGCCATTTAGATTTAGTCTTAACCAGTACAATAAATCTCAAATAAAATTACTTAAATGTTTTTTGTTAAAGGTTCAGATCTACTTTTTTTCTGTATATGAAATAAAATTGTAATTTTTCATTTTTGTTTTTTAAGAATCTGTAACAATAAATTATTTTAAATTATTATTAAAAAAAAACTTGTGGAAACACTGAAAACTAGAGAAATTGAAAAAATAAAATAATGTGTCCATCATGTCAAAATAAATATGCATGTGAACAAAATACCAGTTTTCAAACAAATGGCGTATCCACTCTCCTCAGTCCAAGTAATGTGACGTAAGCATTTCTTTTGTTTTCATTGGTTCGTTGCTGGCGCCACCGATGACTCACCCACTACTTCACCGCTTAGACTGAATCTATTCTGAGGTATCTCCACCGCTGTTTTCTCATATACATCGAATTATYATGTTAATAGTTTTCCTATGTTGACCCATCCGGAAAAACGATAMCAATAGTRAAATACAGAAATATGCAGTGYRCCTMAAAAAATGACGAAATATGCAAAAATATGCTAAATAAAACTTAGTGTTCAAGATATTATATTGACTATTATAATTCAATCGTGTAGCTCATTTAGCTACTTTTTGGACTATTAAAAAAAGGTTCTAATGTATATAAATTCATTATCCGTACCCTATTTATTATGATATACATCCCTACATAGTTATTCACCAAGCATGCTCACCCAGTCAATCTGTGTTTCCTTTGAAAAAAAATGTATTTGAATTCTGATTTTTGAAATTTTTAAATATTCTTGGACCATATTTTCAAATTCTTGAAATGTTTGTACTGTATAAGCTGTGTCCTGTGACAATACAAACTTCTGTTTTTCAAATGAGAATCACCTTTTCTACTGTAAYTTATTTAGAGAATAATTTATTTTTAAATTTTAATGTACCTACTTCAAAACATGAATAAGTAGTTAGTAATTTCTAAGTTATTAAAATGTTTGTAAATGGTTTTACAAAAATATATTTTGCATTAGATGCAATATTTGAACCAGAACTAATATTTAATAATGTGCTTGGGCCATTTTTACAAATTATTAATGTTGATAGATAAAATGAATAACATTTATGACTAAAATATTCAAATCACTATTATAGGCCGATTACCATCATGCAATAAAAATATGCAGTTTCCTTACATTTTAAATTTGTAAAACGCTATTAACCAGGTAATCGTAAGTGGCTACACAGAAAAAAAACTGATTTAGGTGGTATGAAGAAATAAACTTTGGTATTATATTTACTATAAATAAGTTAAAAGAAACAAATTATGAAGATTTAATGAAATAGGTATTGTAAAGAGTTACAATATATTTTGTCTTATAGTGACTCAAACGATATTGAAGTGGTAGATATATATATACAAAATTAATTTTATTTCAAAGCTTCGTTGGAGAAAACATGATAGCATTACAAGCATTGAAAATTACAAAAAAAGCTCGTAATTGTTTCCTAATATTTTAATTGCTTTACAAATGATTCTGACGATTCCAATTACTTCTACTAGCGCTGATGCTAAGAGATCATTTTCAGCACTTAAATTTGTCATGAGTAATATTATAGTTTAGTATAGAAGTCTGAGAATGATACGACACTGTGTGTACTATTTAAGATAAAGTTTATCTTAAACCATGGTAGTGTGTGAATACGGAATAACAGAATACATTGTACCACGAACAAATGATTGTATTCCTATATTATAAGCATTATATTTTTAATATAAATACGGCCCCCCTTTAACACTGGATATAACTTTCATAAGAAATCCCCTCACATTTTGATAATATATAAAGATTAGTTATAAAAAAATCTTACGATAATTATTTTGAAATATTTTTTGGATTTTGAAAAAAATTAAATTCTGAACAGAGTAGTGAATATTATTCATTTTAGAATTATGTATTATAATTTCTTTTTGTGTTTGTGTCTTATCGAATTTGAAAGAGTAAAAAACTTTTATTTTCAACTTTTATATATTTTCTATCTTTTTAATTTTGAGGTAAAAATTTAAAAATATAAGTTCTGAATAACTGGAAAAATAGAATAAAATAAGGAAAAGTTAGATGTTATACGCAAAACCAGTTATCGACCAAAATCGTTTTTATTATTTAGTTATAAATAACATACAAATACTTATTTAGGTTTCTCTATGCATTGTAATATGTTTTAAACATATTGTAACTCTATAAATATGTGAAATTTTCTAGAATATTTTTAGTCTTTGTTTCAAGTATTTTCAATATACACGGTTTCTCATTAAATTTCACAAATTTTCTTTACTAAACTTGACCTCACAGTAAGATTTAGGTAATAGTTAGCTCTGAATGTTGATATAAWTATTAATATTGGCCCAGAATACCTAGTTTATTATAAAATCTATTAATAAGTTTGATAAAAATATTATAGATTAAATGCTATTAGTGATAATTATATTCTGCATTTTTCCTGTTTAATTTTATATACCTATCAATGATTAATTAAAATTTCCATGTTTTTAATTAGGTAATTAGKTAAATATAGTTACCTATATTTTTCGTATATTTTATATTAGACAGTCGACCTGACAAATACATTATATCTATTCGTTTTGTACCAAATTACATAAATTGTTTTAATGGTAGTAAAATTTATTTTAATTATTATTTTATTACGGAATATTCAGCCGTTCTATGATTAACATTTTTTAACAGAATACGTCATCTGTACCTCACTAGCTGTATTTTCATATTCTTAATGTAGACTTCATATTATTTTTATTTGATTTTGTAAGTTGTTACTACCATCATATACATACACAATCTAGTCTAACTATATAACTGATATATCCACTATAAAAACCAAACCTTCTAATTACTTTTATTTACTATTTATTACAGTCTCTGAAGGTTGTCCGTTTATGGAGAATACTGAGTATGATGTTACCGTAAAGGGTTCGGTTTCGTCGCTGATCGGTGGTTGTGCCTACATAAGTTACAATGCTAGTGACAAAATACCACAATCATATAGCTTGTGGTTTGGAAATATTGAACATGATGGACCATATTGCCGTGGATATGGTACGTGTAACAAACTATTATTTTATTACGATACAGGATTCTGCATTACACCCATGACTTTAACACAGCTTCTTCAATTTAATAATAGTAAAACAAGTACTAACGTTAATTAATTAAATTAAAAGTTCCACATTGTGTGTTAAATATATTGTATTAATATGTCAATACAAATCTAACCATTATATATACAAACGCATAGATATAACTGAGAATTCGTTGTTAATTTAATTAAATTTTATACCATAACTATTTTTCACTACACATCAAAGATATTCAATAAGTTAGGTATTATATTGTCATTCTGGGTCCAAAAACCATCTCCAATTATTAACTGTCTGATGATGGTTGAAAGTTGTATATCTCATTGAATATCACTCATTTTATATTAAAAATATCACATATTTATATCAATGTGTATTTGTTTTGTACTGTTTTGTCATCCATCGGTGTATATCTAGGTATAGAGTATTTTCTTTTTTACTGTCTATCAAAACCACTTTCAACGTCAGCAGACATCAGCAAGGGACGTATGTATATAAACAAAGTATGGCCATACGACGAAGCTGCCAATAAGACGGGAGCACGAGATCGCAGATGTGCTGTAAGTATATAATAYCTACAGCTGGACTTACCAACTGGCACATCTGAAACTTATTTAAATTCGTTATTAAATCAACTTCAGATCGCTTATCTAATTTTTTTAATTATTCAATTCAGTATACCTTATTAGTTTAAATAAAATATTTATTTGTATGTTATTAATAACCCCAACAAAACACTCTGCCAAACTCAGTGAAAAAAAAAATTAGGAACGACAGAAATAGCTCCTTTAACACAGGATACGCCTTTTCCTCTTATCAATTGCTTACCTACATAATGTTGATTTTAATACTTATTCTCTTTTTTTTGTCCTCGTGGACCTTAGTTGTATGAAAAGATCAACAATCACGATAAGACACTCCGTGTGKCAATTAACAGTGACGTTTCGTGTGATGGCTTGTCAGAAATATTGTACAATTCACAGCTGATTCATCGACCCAACAAGGGGTCTATGTTAATGATATTTAACAAGACCAAACATGACGTAACCACAATAACTACTGAGTCGACACAATCGATATCTAAGCGTTACGAGAGATTAGGGTACATCCTACAAAATGTTGGAAATCGACCAAACCCATTTTGGARGACAGAAGAGATTAAAGAAGAAAAACATAGAAGGTTAGTCTCATAACAAAAACATCTCACACTTATCGTCATGCTATTTAATAAACAAATAATTATTTATAACTAGCTGATCCTTGTGTTCTTCATTGATGGTTAAAAATATGGTATAAGTTGTGTCTGTAWAATTTAAAATTTGTTTAATTCATCGTTAAATACTCGGCATAGCTGTAGCACCGACATGCACTATTTAGACGTTATCAGCCAACTAATATTATTATTTAATAGCTTGTTATATAAATACACAATATGTATATAAACTTACAATTTACATGTACAAATTTATTTTTGCCAATTTCAATCGTTTAAAATCAAAATTTTGAAAAATCCTTTCTTATTGCATGCTGAAAGTATTAGAGAAACCACTGTTCTAAATTTCAAGTTCGTTCGATGAGTAGTTTTTGAGATACAGTAATCAGTGAGTCAGTGGTATTTGGATTTTATACGTACCTATAGATAATAACTGTAAATCAAATCAAAAATTCAATATGTTTCGTACGTTTATAGACATTTTTTGGTTGAATTCAATTTTTTTTTTCTGAATTAAAATCGAAAAGCGTAAGCTACATTTAATGTTGACATAACTTTAGGTATTTTGAACTAAAATCAGAAGTAGCTAGTGAAGTCTAATGGCTTATAGTTGAATTCAGTTAAAAATATATATTCCATTCATGTATCATACAGTATCACAACTTGTACTTGAAAACAACTAAGAATAGTTCTGCGCATTCAAATAGCGTCACTAAATGTATTTTGTTCAAGTTGCATCCGTGATTTAGTTACGACACATCCGAGATGTGTCAAAGGGGTTTTCAGCAACTGAGAATAATGTTTGGTGATAAACTCATAAATAGTCTCGATTGTTGATGTATTATCTATAAATACCACCTTAAATTTTATTGTTGGAAATAAATTTTGCTTCTGTTAGAATTAGTCACAATTCGACATTCCATGTTCTACAAATCAACATATTTGTATGTATTTTTATTTATATTTATTTAACTTTGCAATGGAAAGTCTTGAAATAATTAAAATGTTCAGTTAAAAAATAAACTATTATATTCTATTAATGGACACAAATTCGCTTTCCAATAATGTTTAAATGATTATGTTCAGAGGTGGTTGTGTTCAAAATGATTATGCAGATTTTGTTTTAAAATGAACGAAAACAGTTAAATAATTTTTAGAACTTTAAACCATGAACACAAAAAAGACGACGAAAATATTTTTAATCGTAAAAAACCCACCAACAAATTGAAGCGTAAATTTCTTTATGATATATTTGAATATTTACGGAAAATTCTATATCGAGATATACACAAATACCAGTCTTTGATTTGTAAAAGTGAAAAAAAAAATGTATATTTATTATTAACCAATTAATCAATTATTAACCGGGACGCAACTCGTACATGTTGCGAGAAAATAGCGGAGCAACTAGGATATGTTTAACACATTGTGTTATATAAAAACCACGGAAACAACTTAGAAATCAGAATGTATATTTTCGTAATTTGGGTCGCAATTCGTATGTAGCCCAATATACTTACTTATAACTTATATGTATTTTTTTTTTTTTTACGTTTTAACCCTATCACTGCTGTGGACGTGTATACACCCGGTACCACCATACCACCAGGCCGTGTACTCAGTGTGCTGGATTTAACTATTATGCCACTTTAAGCACTAAATAAATTGCCGCCTTTTGATATAAATATTTTTTTAGTCTAAAAAATGTTATTTAAGCATACAATTATAGTTTTTTCCTTTATTACTTAAAATTTTAATGATGAAAAATAAAAATATACAGCTGTTATAATACATAATTAAATATATATGTTACGGGCAAAGTAGAAAGTCAGGCATTGTGCACTGTGCAGTGTGGACAATGAGTGGGCACTGTGCACAGTGCCCGATTTTCAAGGGCAAAGTTGGAATAAGTTAACGTTACACAGGCGCGTATTTCCGAACCCTAACTAAGCTGGGGCATGCCCGAATCCGGTTAGACTCCGTAGTGCGCGCTTCACTACGTTCCCTAACTGATTTGGGGCACACTATTAAATATTCGTGTAAAAGCATAGTTTTGTACCTATATTAATTATATTTACATAATAATACATTMAATTACGAACCATACAATATTGTTGTCATAATATACATATATGCTATAGGGTAAAGTAGGCAGTTATTGGCACCTTAAGGAAATTTCGCTCTTTACCTAACCTATATCTTGTGTTTAACCATGGTTAAAATTACTGAATTCTCTTSGACTTTATTTAAAATGTTTTTATCTTTCTAAGTTTATTATCAAAATTGGTTTAGAAGTAATAGGTTTTTTTATATTTATAGTTCTTTACAAAAATATCAAAACATTTAGTTATTGGCACCATTGTTGAGGTTATTGGCACTCTCATCATTAGTTATTGGCACCCACTAAAATTATATGACAAATTATGTTTTAATTCTTTAGAGACTATTAGAAACTTAGTTATTTACTATTTTTTTGTTAAGAAAAAATATCTACAGGTATATAGGTATTGATAAATTATTGTACTTACCATTAAATTATGTTCTTTGAACAATAATGTATAATTATCTTAAAAATATATCACAGATCCTCATAATACTTAGATACTACCTATGCAGTGGT